TGTATGTCTCAATATTTGAAATTATTCATTCTTTTTTTGCGATATCTATTCGTTCTTTTCCTTCCTCTATTCTTTGTATCATATTACATGGCAGCATCATCAGTGATATTATCAGACGCGATCAATGGTATCATCGCATTTGATAATATCACTGCGCTCACTTTAAAAGCATTATTAGAATATAATCGAATAAGTATAACAGAAATAAAAAAAAAATATATATATATATATATATGTATATATTTTGCGTATGAGAATAAATAAAAGGAGTCATAGAAGCTGCAATAAAAGAAAAAATCATAAGTGTAGAATGCATATAATCTCAACGGACGACGTATCGAGAGAAAGATGGCAAGTATATGAGATAGAGCGCATGGCTGCGGCGGCGGCAGCGCTGCTCAATATCTATCTCAATATGTATAACGATAATATTTGATAGCTGGATGCTCTATGCAACAAAAGCAATTTTCTATGAACTTATTATGTTTCTATGAACTTATTATCGATTCTTTTCGCGGCGGCACTTTTGATTTACTTTGTTTTATATACATTGCCATAGATAAATCCTCGAATAGTCTCGCTGCAATGAAGAATGCTTTTTAGCGGCAGTCTTTATCGAGTTGCGTCGCGCGAAGCACTGTATTCGATGTGAGTGATAACAATCTGTAAAAGTATTCTGCCAATAGTGACGGAATATTTTTGCATGTTGAATGAGTTATGTGATTAAGTGTTACGTGATTATATTTAGAATGAAGAATTCCGAGTCTCCAGCCAAACGGCTAAAGATTAAGGAAGAAGAGATTAAGAATTCCGATGAGTCTCCAACCAAACGACTAAAGAGGAAGAGGAAGAGGACGTTAGCATCGAAGAGGATGTTCTCTTCACCGAAGAGAACGGTGATGAGAGTGTTCTCTTCGATGAGAACGTTCTCAATGAAGAAGAAGAGAAGGAGGAAGAGGAGGAGGAAAAGGATGATGATGATGACGAGGAAGGATTTCTTCATATACATCTCTTATATACGACTTTTTTTTCCATTTTAACATTGCCGAGTGCATCGAGTACATGATATACCTCCTCCACTTACAAAGCGAAGAATAGTTATTCCACATCCTCGAAGAGGCGGTGGAGGAAGTGGAAGAATAAAAGGAGGAAGAGGAAGAAGAGAAGAAGGAAGAAGAGGAGAAGGAGGAGGTAAGTAAAAATATTTTTATATTAATCGTCATTTTGGGGTGAGTGTTATGTCCTGCAACGCATTTTGGGATGGATGCGGGATCCGCGACGGCGGCGGCGGCAAGTTCTTTCGATCGCGATGCCAGCGCTGCCTGGTGGTAGTATCCGTGGATTCGAACCCTCATTGCTCAATACTATAACAAAAGAGAGGCAAAAATTATATTATTTCATTAGTACTTATAACAAAAAGATATATTGAACAAAAATTTGACAAATTATTCAACGTAAATAATAAACAGAACTATAAAAATATATATAACAAATATAAAATATACAGACGTCCTCAATTGAGTCATTCTTAATGCTTCAATATATATAATAAAAGTTTACTCGGTTTACAGAAATAAAATTATTCAGACATTACTTGTATAAATTATGATCGAATATATTTATTGAATATATTTAAGTCTCACTGTAGTCATCCATAGAATTAAAATCTTGAAAGAATTTTAAATATCAAATGTTCCATTGTAAACGAATAAGGATTGTTTCTATTAAACTAAAGCAATTTTATCGAAATATAATAACTTATAGAGATAATGCATTATAGAATTAAAGACAGTTCAATTGTATAACGATCACCGAGAAATTATATTCAAATTTTTAATTTAGTCAAAGTTAAGTTATATAAATTACCTTCATATTATTATAAGAGAGTCTAATACAGAAACCGCAATCAAGTTTTTGCAATTTATATTATAAGCAATAACGATCAGAATTAAAGTTTTTGTTACCACATCAGTGTTTTAGAATGTTGTGAATTTCAACATTCAAAGAATTATAAATGATATGAGAATATGAAGGAAGGAAATTTTTTGGAAGGGAGAGAAAATGTGTTAGAGAAGATATGGAAGAAAGAGGAAAAATGAGAGAGAAAATTGAGAGAGGGAAGTAATTATGAAGGGGAAAGTGATCGTATGATTTAGAGGTATGGTTTTGGCAATGATATCATTTTGTTTGTTATTACCTTGTCTTTGCTTTTTTATATGTATCATTTCAGATATCAATCTTTTATTATACGAAGCCTCTTTATGTAAAATTTTGACTTCATTCCATTTAAAGTTATGATTTAAGTTCATGCAATGGTCAGAAATGATGGTGAACCCGTTCTTTTTTTGATATCTGAAATGTGATCTATTATTTAATTTTCGTTTTGTTTGGCCTACATAACTGGCATCATAGTCTTCACACGAGATTTTATATGCTACATTTTGATTAGACAATGGCTCCAGTTCATCCTCTCTTTATACTTTTAAGTGTGTTAGGAATGGAATATACCAATTTATAATTGAATTTAGGAGAAATTGGTAAAAGCTTTCTGAAATAGATTTAACATTGAGAAAAATTTGTCTTTATGTTTTGTGTTAATCTTATGTGTGAAATTATTACTGTGGATATAATATTTTATTCTATTATTAATAGTAGAGAAAATAAAAGATAGAGAATAGCCATTGTTAAGGAATATTTGAATGGTATCAATTAAATTTTTTTGGTGCGATCCTTTTGAAAGTTATTCTATCTTGAAATTAAAGGATCATTTAGAATTAATTTTAAAAAGAAGTTAATCAAAATCAAGATTTACGTATCTTTACGAAAAATGATTACGAAGCAATGTTTGAAATAAATGTTTTAAAGCTTAAAGCTAACTTTCGAATGCTTCAAATTATTTTTGTATGCAAAAACTTTATTATAAGCCTTTATCTTTAATTTGCTTTTTTTATTTAACATTGAAACAAAAGAGATCATTTTGCTTCAACGTTCAATAATTCGGTGAAAAAGAATCGTACAACGTTCAATAAAAAAGCAAATTCAAGGTAAAGATTCATTCTTTTGATTGCTGTAAACCGCATTTTTGTGTGAGTTTTATTTCACGCCATAGATCTTCCTAAAATTTGTATAAAATTTTCACATTTGACGAATATCCATTTGTGTTCGTATAGCTCCATAAAGAATCAGTCAGATTGAAATATTAATTACCGATTTCGAAAGTAGAGATTTCAAGCTTTAAAAGACTTTTTTAAACATCTCACTACGATAATTTTTAAATGAATTATTACCATTTAAGAATATAAAAAATTTGTGAAAAAACTTAGTGGCCAACTCAGTGGTTTTTTTGCATGTGAGTGAAAACATTGACATTTTGACAGCAGTTACTATTTTGCGACGATAGAAACAGCTAATATAATATCTTTTTGAGTGCAGTTATTGTCTTAGAGCTAAACGAATATCATATATTAGGTGTAAAAAGAAATCCATTATTTTTGCATGAAATTGAATGGAAAAATAATGGATTTCTTTTTATTACACCTAATATTTACACAGATCGAAACAATACTGAATCATTTAAAAATAGTAAGATGTTAATATTCACACGAGATAAACACATTCAATCTTTCCATATATGAAATGTGCGTTTCCATATTTTGCGCAATGTAAAATTTATTGTTCTCTATTTCATGTTCCATTACAACTGTTTATAACTTTTAAATAGGGCTCGGTCTTATTTCAAATAAATTTATTTATAATAAGATATACATTTTAAATAAAATAAAATTTAACAGTTAATAAGTATTTATTATTTAAAATAAAATCATGTGGATTTTTCACCTGGTTGGCGAAGGGTTAATACTATTAAGTATCAATTATAGGCTGTATCAATTATAGCTCTAAAAAAAACTGAAACGTTATATTTAGAAATGTATATTCATATATTCAAATAAACAAAGTTATTAAAATATTTTTTATTTAAATTCTATTTAAAACGTTTATTTGAAATACATATTTCTTACTTTATATTTTAAGTAAGTTTCCGAAACCTATTTTTTATTTAAAATAGGAAATAGCCTTCGAAAATCTATTTAAAATAAAAGACAAGTTATTTTTATATTTTAAATAAAAGTTATTCTATATTTTAAATAAATTAATGCATTTTCGAACCCTATTTCTTATTATATATTTTAAATAATTTCTTGTGACCTATTCCTTATTTAATATTTTAAATAAGTTTTTGAAATCCTTATATTTTTTATTTCAAATATTGTAAGTCGTATCAGTGATTTTACTCCTACGATTGTATATTTTACATAAGTTTCTGGAACTTATTTTATATTTTTTATTTTAAATAAGTCGTATCAGTTATTTTATCGAGTTCTGCTTTTAAAGCATTTCTAACGAAACATATAACGTTTTTTTCTTTTTGCCACACTTATATATATTCTGCAATCAATTGTCTTAAATAATATTAAGTTATTCAGAAAATTCATTTCAAATTTTGTTAATTCAAAATTATGTACATAATATATTTATTGCGAAGTTTTCGACTATCTGACGTGAAAGCTCAAAGTTTTCCTTAAAAATTCGTTTTTAAAAAATGTCTCTATGATTTTTTGTTCTGAAACCTGCTTTACCTGCTCACTCGCGAGGCAACATTCCGACTCATAACTGTGTTACAAATCATATTAGATGTAGTAAAAAGAAATCCATTATTTTTGCGTGAAATTGAATGGAAAAATAATGGATTTCTTTTTCTACACCTAATATAAAAGATACAGATTTCTAATGCTAGAACTTTGCTGTATCGAATGGTATAATTGCCTATTTTATTAAAAAAATAGAATATATATAAATTTGAGTAAAAAATATGACTATATTTTCATTGTAATCATTACGTAGTAGTTATAGAAGCAAAATAATATTATATTTTTAGTTCAAATGCATATATATTCTATTTTTGAAAAAATTGACATTTATATCATTCGATAAAGCAACGTTTCAGCTTTAGATGCAGAAATTGCATGGTTATATTGTTCTGTAAATAAACAAAATATTTCAGGTTGAAACTTTTGACATTGTTAAAATTTTGTGTATAAAAATTTATAATTACAAGTACACATATAATTAATCTTGGCTCATCAGTTCTTCTTTTAATTTATGTTGTTGTTAACAAAATATATTGTTTCTTTATTTTATTAAAACATCTAATTTTTGCGCAATGAAACTTATAATTACATTTTAAATACTTAAAGTACTTATACAAAAAAATTTAGATTAACTTGGTCATTATATGCTTTTCAAATTTTAGTATTGTAATAAGAAAGTAATAAGTAACAAATAAAGTAAATAAACTATAAAAATGTGTTTAATAAAAATATGCTTGAAATATAACTTAATTCATATGTATATAACTTATTTAAAATATAAATATTAACACATTTGTAAAAATATAACCTTAAAATATAATATAATCTTAATGTTAATATTTTTAGCGAAATAAACATCACGTGCATGTAAGATTGCAGAGATGAATATTTCTGAAATATAATTTGTGAATGTAGCATGATTATATGAACCAAATATCGATTTATCATCTGGAGATAAAAAGTGAACGTATTATTTTCAGAGCTATGTAGTTTACATCTACTTTGTCAGGGGTCAGTAGTGCGCGGCAACATTTTGCGGTTACAGGTTTTGAGCTGTTGTGTCCTCTCTCAGATTTCTATGTTTCCTCATGCATCTTGTATTCTTAGTATTCTTACATTATGATAGATGGTATTCTGCAATCTGCAACAATTCGCCGGCGGTATCGATAAATCGTTTCGCTTGTGAAGTAGGTAATCTAGCCGCATTATGAAGCTAGTAAGGTACGTAAAATACGTGAAAATTATATAATAAAAAAAAACATAATAAAAGCACTGATTTTTCTATGCATGCAATGAATTATGTATGTATATGATTTCTGTGAGAATGCAAATAATTCTATACGTGCACCTAACCTATACTTTAAACGTTTTTGCGCGAAAACACTGATATTTCTTCAAAGATTAATGTTGTTTTTGCAGATTTTTGATGAAACTCAGTCACGAGACTGTGACGATAGAATTAAAAAATGGCACTCAAGTTACCGGCACAATTACAGGTATGTCAAAGTGACGTTTTGTTGTGTGACTTGGCGTCAAGTAGCGTTAGGTTAGAAACAAATGTTGATATATAAAGGATATGATCAATGTTGCAAATTCTTTGAAGTGTTTTTTAATTGGTCAGTTTGTAAAATTCTTACTTTTATTGGTCCATCAAACTTCAAAATATTTGTGTTGAGATTTTGACCACAGCTAAAATAAACACCAATATGGCAGATCTATTCGTAATTAAAAATTTTAAGATTTTTTTGGGTATAGATATATAAGAATATATTTTTGTGAAAATGTCAGAGAATAGAAGTGTTACCATAACATTTTATTATAATAACAATTATAATAAACAAATAAACTTATTATAATAACAATTTGATAATGACGTTGCATTTTTTATAACTATAATGATAAGCAGTTAAGCTGAGAATATGCTAAAATCTTGGGAAAATCACTTTATGTACCTCGCACCATTGCGTTTATTTAAAATAAAAAAATAAATTGTAATAAGTAATGAGTAATGTTACCTCGTTACAAATTACGACTTACAAAAGTTGGATTAACTTTTTCAATAATGAGTAACTTTTTCAGCTTGTTACAAATAATGACCAAAAGACCTTCCAAGCCCTGTGTTACCTTATAGTTCTACTGAAAAAAAAATCATGTCACATAATTACATTATGAAATCATGTAATTAAAACAAGTAAATTATGTAATGGATTGTTCCAAATTAATACGTTATTTTCTAAAATAACATAATTTGAAAAATCACATGATATGTTTTTTTTTTCTATTTCTATCATTTAATTCTTTAAAATTCAATAACTATAAAATCACATGATGGACGAAATTATTTCTAATATGATTTTCCGAATTGTAATTTTAAAATCACGTATTGATTTGGAATAATCCATTATGTGATTTACTTGTCTTAATTATATGATTTTGTTATGTGTAACTGATATATATGTATATGATTCTTTTCAGTAGGGATAATAAAAAAAATTTCTCACTTGTCATTATCATTATAACGGAGTAAGGATAAGAAAAGTAATGGTGTGACAAGTAACTAATGATTTCCATTCCCTCTATGTTATTAATTTTAAATTAATCCTTTTTATTTTTTCTAGTGAGTGCATGCATTGGTGTACTAAAGTCATTGTATACAAATTAAATGTAAAAATGTGTGTTTAATATGAATACAAAAATAAGTTAAAATTATCAATGCATTTTATTATGCTTTAGATAAAGTATATATTTTCTAATTTAAAATAATTGCAATTTTACTTTTATTCAAATTAAATCAATATATTACAGCTTTAATATGTGCCAGTGCACACTAGTGCATCCAATCGAAATTGTTATTAATCATATATTTCAGAACTGAGATTTAGTTGCATATTTCTGCCGATTAGCTTAGGTCTTGTCCATCAGCATTTAGGTTGCAGTTGAAATAAGAGATAGAAATCAAACTGAAAATCGGCTGAAATGTGCAATTAAATTCCAGCACTGATATATTCATATGTGATCTAATGTCATTTATTATTGATAAATTATTTTGCTATAGGTGTTGATGTTGCCATGAACACACATCTAAAAACAGTAAAAATGACAATAAAGAATCGTGAACCAATACAATTGGAAACCCTTAGTTTACGAGGAAACAATATAAGATATTACATTTTGCCTGATTCATTGCCATTAGAAACATTACTAATTGATGATACACCGAAGGCTAAAGCCAAGAAGAAGGAAGCTGCGAGAGGTATGTTTATGTGTCTAGGCATATATTTATGTGTCTAATAATAAAACAGAAATATCCAATGTTGAAGCAAGTTACAGATAGTAAAATGTTCCACAATCCATTTGTTAAAAGTATTCAGTGCTGAAAGGGATAAGTCAACAAGTATTAATCCTATATTTATATTTTTAATTTTAACTGATAAGAGATATTTTCTTTTTATTTTATTTTTTTGCAATCATTACAGTTATATGATAAAGTTTTCTTTAGTTATATTAATTATACTATTTGTTTGTAGGTGCTGCCCGTGGTAGAGGACGCGGCGCCAGGGGCGGTAGAGGTGGTAGGGGTGGACGAGGTAGAGGGAGAGGCAGGCGATAGTGACATTCAACATATTCTTCACATGTATTTTCAACATACACATTTTTCTATCTTTGTGAAAAGAATCATTATTCTGCTAATTTTATAAAAATGAATCTATGCGAAGCTGTTTTCTTGATATAGCCCTATAATAAATTTCAAGATAACGTGGACATTCATTTTTAACAGATTTAAATGTAGAGCATACAAGCATTCCGATATTTTAATCTTGTATTCGATTTTATTATCTTAATATGCTTGTAAAGAAATATAGAAAATTTGTAAAATTGATTTTTGACCATTATAATTACATCTATGCGTGCTATATAATTAGCCATAATTTTCATTGTAATATAATTCATTTAACGTAATGTAAACTCCTTATTTGTTAATTCTATTAATTTGAATAATCTAATATTAATTACAATTTCATTGTATTACAAATTTTTCTTAAAAAGGAGTTACAATTTATAATTACAAGGATATCATGCTAGTACAAATTACATTTATTTCATTTGCGCCAGAGCGTGTGTGCGCCCACCATCCGTACCATTGTAAAACTCAAAGATTTATAAGACATAATAGATTTAGATCAATATATCTACGATAAAATTACTATTCGATATAACTAGAATGATATAAGATTTCCTCTGTAATTTAAATATATTGAGGACTTTCTGAATAAAACAGTATGGTTAAAAGCAGTTTTTATCAGTTTTAAGATTTAAATGTCATTTTGCGTATCAAACCAAGTTCGCTTTTGTTATGTCCGCGTTAACGAACTTCAACGTACACTCGTATATTCGTCTAACCACTTCTGTCAACATTTACGTTACACGAAACCCCACGACTCGTGACAATGTAATTCGCACGTCGTTACTCGCGACGATCCCGTCCAAAAATGTTCGCACATGATTATGTGGAAGTCATCAAAAAGGCTGATCATCAACTGCTTACAATTTGTCATTAGATGCGGCCGCAGTAACTTCGATGCGGATGATTTAGATGACATTTCGGATTACGACGTCCTGGATGTTCCTAGTAATGTAGCGATAATTGCCTCTGTTGCCGCGGAGAATTATCTCCGTTATTATGAGAAATGCATTTATTTAAAAATATTCAGTTTAATCAGTGAGAAGAGTTCTTATTTTGCCGTATAAGTAAAAATAATTAGATCGCAAAGTGATCATTAAATTTTTATATAATTTTTTAATGCGATTTATACAATTTATATTGACGTGATTCATACAAATTGTTTATACAAATTTGCTTCTAAATGTATATACGTAAAAAAATGTTACTATTGGATTTTTACAAGACTATTTGGATTTTTACAAGACAAAATCTATTGAGATGAGTCAATATGCTGCCAAATGAATTTGAGCCAAACTGAGATAAAAATTTAAAAGTTTAAATTATAGTATTATTAACCTTCCGGAAATATTTTTAACCTTCCGGAGGGTCAATTACAGATCTATTGATCAATTCATTATAAGTCTATTTTTCGTTCTTGCATTAGACTCTGCACTAGAACTTTTCTCGCTTTGACTAAATATCAAATATGCTTGTTTTATTTTAAATTTCAAGCATATATCTACTAATTCAATCACAGAAAATAGATCTTATATAAATTTGTTCATCAGAAGTATAAAATTCAATTTTTCTTAGATTTTTTTGGTTATTTTTATTAAAATATATTTAACATTCATTTTTCTCAATACGAATTGTGTCATTTTGATTTCTTAAAATTAATTAACTTTTATAATTTAATACAAATTAAATGGATCTTACAGATCTAACATTAATAACCATGTTGCAGATTTTGACGTCAATAGGAGAGTTAAATATAATAAAGTGTCTGATTGATCAATTCTAATCTTATTAGATATATTAAAATTTTATTTGATCTAATCTAATCTTATTATATATTATCCTAAAATATTATATGATATGAATCGAATTTTATACTAAAAGCAAATTCGATTGGATGTTCTCAGTATGCACTGCATACTGAGTGCGCATCAAAGTCGTCATATATACAGATTGACGTAAAAATGTGTGTTTAATATAAATACAAAAACCAGTTAAACTGTGAAAATTTTAATACACTTTATTATACTATTAGATAAAGTATATATTTCATAATTTCAAATATTTGCATTTTATACTCTGATCAAATCAATGGTTTTAATATGCACTAGTGCGTCCAACCGAATTTGCTATAAAATTGATTAATAAAAGCAATTGAAAAAAAAATAAGATAGCAATAATTGTAACAATCTCATAGTATATCTCAAAAGATAAATTAAGTCGAAGATATACTACCGATATGTCGCGGTTTGTGAAATGCTGGCATTGTAATAGAGAAATCGCGGGTGGGATTAATCTTGGCAATAATAAAAATCATTATTGATTTTATTATCTTGGTTCGCTCTCGATTCTTAACGGCGTAAATCAGAGCGGAAACGATCGATATTGCTGGGGGTAACTTTATAAGGAGACATGAAGTGCTCAAACGAATGGTTCAATGTCTTTGCAGTGCATTTTCAGCCGCAAACATTCGCGCTACCAAGGCAACCGCGCCAGGACGATCTCCAGCATCGACCGGACGCGCCGGGAGCGAGGAGGACCTCGCCGCCGGAAGTGGTGACCAAGGTGCTGCAAGCTCTCGAAGAGATGGGCGAGCCCGTGGGATCGTCGACGGTGGAAAAGATGCGCGGGGCTTCGTCGAAGTCCCTTGGGTACCTGCTGCATTCGGGAACATCGTCGACGAGGATGAGCTAACAGATTCGCCACTTCGCAGTTTCGATGAACTTCTGCCCTGTGGAGAGTTCTGTGTCCAGAGTTCTTGGTATCTCAGCCATTTGGGACTCTTGTACGTGCGGACTCTCAGAAGAAGCGATTTTCGTCCATAGAATATTTGACGTTCGTTCTTGTGATTTTACCTTTTTCTCTCTTTCTCTTATACGGACGTCTAAGTCTTAATTGTAATAATATTATATGCGCGTGTAGAAATAAACTGCATACGATACTTGAAAGATCCGGAAACTTTGCAGTTTAGATTCCTTATCGAGAATCATTGATTGCGTTTTTCATATGCGATTGTGTATTTGTCTGGCTATATGTTGCATATTGTTGTATTTACTTCACCGAAAAATGTATCAACGGCGAAAACTATTACAATAAAATCTTGTTACGACAAACTCGGTCCAATTTCCGAGTTGAATGAATTCTTTGCATTGAAATTTCGTTAAATTTCTGATTGATCGTTGATTATATTAATGTAAAAAAACAACTTCATTTTTGTAGACCATTTCGTGGAAATTTTTGCGGCAAAAAACATTCGATCGTAATTTATCGAAAATGTTTCTAGAAAAGTCTTTTCATATACTTGTATAAAATACTATTATATCAACATGACTATTGTTGTTATTTAATGTATAATTATCACACAATAAATATATTTTATTTTACTATTATTTTAGTGTTTTTTAGATGTATGAACTAAAATAAAAGAAAAATTGGTTGTCATCAATCTTTCTTATTAAAATTATTCATTTTTCTTATTTTTATAATCTAGAGAGATTACATAAAGGAGTATGTAAAATGCATTTAACAGATGTTTTATTTATACATTTGTGATTTATTGATCGGTACAAATGAGCGCAATTAAATTAGTGAATGAAGTTGCGATACGCAACATTTCTTTTAGCGGATTTAAGTGGATGTACTAGTGCGCACAATCTGCAAGCTGTGTACACAAATTTATTTTAACGTCTATCGAGAGAGATATATGTCACACATAATTACTTCAACTGAATAAAATTAATTATATTATAACAGTTATATTATGTGAATAACACTCATGATAATAAAACCAGCTTAATTTTAATGCTATTTTCATAACAAATGAATAAACAGTATGTAATAAATATTTATAATAATTATTCCTTTTTAAATTATTTTAAATTCAACAAAGACGTCGAGACTCGGAATGTAGTTATGAAAAAATATTAAAGTATCAATATTTAAAATAGGGTAAAAATATACAAAATTATAAAGAAATATATAACAATATTCTGATTGAATGATAGAACAAATATTTTGTTCTTAGTAAGGAATTATATCATTTCCTTCACCAAAATCTGCTTGTGTATACCAAAGATCTTGCATACTACGCAGTATCTTTTTAAGTGAATTAAGTACGGCAGTTTTCAGTGCGTATTTAGTGCATGCAATAACTGAATTCGCTGTTCATCGAAATCCTTTTACAAGAATCCGATAACGCCGCAAGCAACGCGCTCGCCTGACGATCCGGTCTTCAGGCTCTCTTCAGTTCCGCCGCGGCCGAGATCGTCTGGTTTCGCGTGGATCACCAGAGCTCTGCCAATCGCACCCCGGACGCCCACTAGGCTCAAGTAGTGATCCATGCCGTCGATATGTGCCACTCCGTCCTCTCCGACCTCAATATTACCGAGATCACCAACGTGACGTAACGGATCACTCGGTGCTCCGTGATTCACCTGAAACGCAATTACTCTTCGTTTACTGTAATGTAAAATGGAGAGAGGGAGTGTGTTATCGCGCGGAGGAAATCGCGACGGCTCAATCCGCGAAGCGTAAGGCTATTAATTTGTGCTAATCGTGTCGCATTTGCATTCGGAGAGTTCGATGCAACAACGATAATCCGATTTCTTCTGGAATTA